TGCTGTCAGGTAAACATGCACTTTATGACTACTGTAGGCATTGCTGTCAGGTAAACATGCACTTTATGACTACTGTAGGCACTGCTGTCAGATAAACATGCACTTTATGACTACAGTAGGCATTGCTGTCAGATAAACATGCACTTTATGACAACTGTAGGCACTGCTTTCAGGTAAACATGCACTTTCCACACTTAATTTACTAGACACTCGTGGTTAGTCCCAATTAAAGCGTACGAGTAATAATAATAATTAGCTCTTATAGCTCAGGCACTAGTAAGGTGTTTATTTAAATTTAGGTTGTTTGAATAACGTAAAAAGATTAAAATATATCTATGTGAATACATATAAATAAAATAAATACTCATGTGAGTTTTCGACTCTTAACTTGCTGTTTTTTTTCGAGTAAAAAACACATACTAGTTGTAATTACGCGTCTCGTTGTAACAGAATGAAAACTGTATATACAACAGTTCAATTGCCAAATAAATCGTACTTTCATCATAAATGATAGCGTATTTTCATAAATTTGTTAAGATGTTTTATAAAACAATTAACGCTGTTTTACACAGCTTTTAAGTTTGTTTTATGCTTTTTGTTTCTTCAAATTTCTCTGTCGTGACTGTTCGTTAACAGAAAATATGGGTTACCTTTTAGTTTTGATCTAAGTAAGTAACTTACTGTGATCAGAAGTCAATATTTATATGGACATCAAGGAACAGCTATAAACGAGACCGTTATAAGAGAAGTGGTGGGAATGTTACGTATATACAGAGGCAGTTTTTGATGTACCTATCTATCTTCAAATGTAAAGTATGTTTCTAGTTTGCATGTCTGTTTTTGATGTACCTATCTATCTTCATATGTAAAGTCTGTCTATACTTTGTATGCTTGTTTTTATCTACCTATATATCTTCATATGTAAAGTCTGTCTATACTTTGTATGCTTGTTTTTATCTACCTATATATCTTCACATGTAAAGTCTGTCTATACTTTGTATGCTTGTTTTTATCTACCTATATATCTTCATATGTAAAGTCTGTCTATACTTTGTATGCTTGTTTTTATCTACCTAT